GCCCCTGTAGATCTGTGCAGGGTGGGTGGGCTGCAGCTGTGGGCTGGAGCCAGGGCTGTGCCGGGTTTTATCAGTGGGGGCTGCAGCCACCCCAAATTTCGCTGTAGCTCCCTCCCACTGTCGGATTATTATTATTAATTACAATGCGTTGGAGTGGCCTCTCTGCATGTGTATAGGTGCTTCTTGAGTTCAAACTCTTCTGCTGTAGAACCAGAATAAAAGGAAAAACAGTTACATCTGAAAGAGTTGGGTTTTTTGTGGGGGGTTAAATCCAATTCTTGGAGAACTTGGACAATAACAAAGACCATCGGTAAAGCTTTATGATTCTCTTACAGATACGAGAATAAAGCCAGAAAACCAGTATTGTTGATTTTTAGTCTAAAGTGACTTCACAACTGGCATAAAGTGCCATGGTATGGGTTCTGAGGGATTGCCCACTTGAGAATAGTTTTCTGGCTGGAATCCTGAGCCTGCCTTCCCTCACAATTGGAATGTAATTAGGACAAGAAATCAGTTGAAATATCAATTTTGTTGAGTCTTTTTCCATTAAGATATTGATTTAAAATATTAGCATTTTACAAGAAACACTATCTTGAAACATTATCTAAAATAACTCACATTTTAAAAAGTAACTGTCATTAGGGTCCAAAATGTATAAAGACATTGGATGTGGATAGATGTACCTTGCTCCATACTCTAATTCATGGTGCTTCATACAAATTTGCCTGTTAGGTCGGGGTGGGAGGGCTGGAACATGCCCTGGCCAGTAGTCGGAGGCTCCAAAAGCTTCTGAGGAGGCTGTTGAACCATTCCTCTCCCCAGGCCCCCCCTACCACCAGAACTGCTGGCTGGGGTTTGCTGCCTGGCTGGAGCTGGAGTGGGGGATGTGGAATGGAGCCCCTGCCTTGTGGCCCCTCTCCCAGCTATCCTGGCAGGGGCACTGGGGGGAGCCAGGCTGGGCCCACAAGGCAAGGGAGCTCTGTTCCACACCCCGCTCCAACTCAGGCTGGTCAAGCCAGCAGCTCATGCTGCTCCTTTCCCCCTCTCTGCTTTGCCTGGCCTGAGCTGGAAGGGAGTGGAATGGAGCCCCCTTGCCACGTAGGCCTGGCTTGGATTCCTCAATGTCCCAGCCAGGGTAGCTGGAGGGGAGGGCCGCAAGGTGGGGTCTCTGTTCCATGCTCCTTCCCTCCAGCTCCATCCAGGCAACAAACCCCAGCCAGCAGCTCTGTGCTGCTCCCTCCATTCCCCTCCCTGGTCACCTGTTGACAGCCCTGAGGCTGGGCTGCATCAGCCTAGCCCACAACACACAAGTTCCTTAAGGTGCTCTAAAGCAGATCACCTTCATCTAATACCTCATTTGAGGAGGCTTAATTTTTTGTGCTGTGGGCCATTTTAAAAGCGCTCTGCAGCCATGCACGAGTGTCATAGCATGGGTATACAACACTGTCATGGGCTTGATCGCACAAAAAAATGTAACTTTTATAAACATCCATTATATTTCAGCTCAATTTTAGACAAATATAGAAAAAATGTTTTTTTCTGACTCTAAATGGGCTATGTTGCTTTGTAACTTGTTCTTAGGGACCTACCCAAATCATGCTTGCATGGATTTTATGGAAGTCATGAAATTGGGCGATCTCTGGAAAATCCTTGGGAGGGGGAAGCAACTTACTAAAAATAAAATGCCCTCACCAGTGATTGGCTGAGAGAGCTGCCTGTCATGTAGCCCTGCCCCTCTCCAATCAGTGGCAAGGAGCAGGACTCTATGACGGATAGCCCACAATCAGTGGTGGGGGGCATGGCCACCAGACACCTCAGTCAGTCAGAGGCTTAGGGGGGTGTTGGGGCAGCCACGTTAAGCCCTAAAAAATTGCAGCCAGCCCCACAATATGCCCAAGAAATTGGCTGCCTATCTCCTCAAGTTGGTAGACTGCTACTTATTCTGTACAAGCAAGGCTTTTTACCATCTCTTTGGATGATATATTCCCAGCCTCTCCTCTGCTCCTGGCTTTCAAACAGCTGACTAACCTTGCCCAACTCATCATCAGAAGTGAATTCCCTACTGCTCAACAGACATCCAAGTGGGATGCAGCCTTGCCTTAACAATAGATGCTTATCAACACATCTCCACTGCTGCTACAATCAACTGCCCCAAAACGAACCCATCAGAATCCATGGATCCTACACATGCCTTTCACAAAATGTGGTATGTTTGTTCCAGTACACCAGATACCCTCAAGGTAACTACATGGGCAAAACTGAACAGCAACCATGAGCCATAATGAAATCGCATAAGAAAAATGTAAAATATATTGCCCTCCCCCCCACCCTTTAAAAAAAAAAAAAAAAGTCCTTCTCTCTCAGTTAATTCCTGGACCACCATGGCTACAACACTTTTTATACTGTATAGTACCTATTTAACGGTACAATGCAGCTGGAATCAAAGTATCCAACACAGTGCTCTTTTTTTTCTCTTAATTGAACTAGAGAACATTTCCGTGATGCATTTTAGTAAGTTAAAAATGAAATGCAGAAAAACTCTGTTCGACTTACAGCAGTGGCATTCGCTGTTTTAATTGGCAGGCACTACAAGAGTTACATGATTAGAAGCAGGTTTTAGTCTGATTTAAGATGCACATTTTTAAGGATGAAAGCCAGTGGTAAGTGGGTGCTAACCTCCCCAGGGCACCATGAAAATGCCACCCTAAATCTTTTGTTTTTAAGACCATTCATTTATTTTGTAAAGGTCTAGTAATATAGTTGCTATTTTCATATTCGCTTTTGAATCATTAGTTTTTGTTACAGAACATACTTGGCAAGAGTAGAGTTCTTGGAGATTGTTTCTTCCTGAGTTTACTAGAATTTTAAAATTTATTGGGATAAAGCCTAGTAATAGGTTTTGTTTTTAATTTGTAGTATAACTTCATTGCATAGGTATAGCTGCAAAGTTATTTGGCATGTGCAGTATAAATTTGAATGTTATTCTTGCTTCAGCTTTCAACTGTGGGAAGCAAAACCTTTGCTACTAATAATTTTAGTGTGAATTAGTAATTTTTTTCCATACTTTTTCTTTCCTGCTCCTTCCAGAGATTGAAAGGTGGCATCATCATCTTGTAAAACTATGTAAAGGCTTCATATTATTGTACAACCTTTTTTGGACAATGTGTTAAGAAAAGCATCTTAAGTAGTTCAGCAAAGAAAGTCTGAAACAGTAGCTTGCAACATACAACATAACATTGAGAAGACATTTCAGGATTAACTGAATGTGACGGTCATTAAATTGTATTACATAATCCTTATAAGGTAATGTGCAAAAGTGATCATTTTGTTGAGAATCAATTGGAAAACTAAGAATATTAACAGAGAGCTTGACCTCCCTCTCTAGTGAAGTAATAGCTACAGTGAATTGGCCAAGGGTACAGTTTCACAAATTAATCCTAGAAATGAAAAATGAAAGAAAACCTTGGTCTTGTACATGCAGGTGACAGCCACGTTTAGGCTGGCATTTTAATGTCTGCTGAACTTCCTTGAAAAATGGCACCAACTGCCACTGGCTGATGCTTTGTGAGAGTGTGCAGTAGCAGCTGGGAGATTTGATGTAGCATTAACTCCTGATCAGATTTTCATTTGGAAATCCATGAAATAAGCCTGGTTAGAAGGAGTTGAATTGGCTGAGGCATGCAATGAAGTGAATCTGATGGCAGTGCAGAAAATTAGTTGGTGCAGGAGATAATTCAGTATTGGCAGTGACAGCAGAGTTGGTCAGCAGATGCTTGTCACCAGCTCAAGGCAGTCGGTAAAAGGTAGGTGAAATGAGTAGTTGACCATAAAGTAGCATAAAAGAGGAAAATTCAAGACTTTTACTGTTTGTGTGGAGTAGCTAGACCAGGGGTGGCCAACCTGTGGCTCTTCAGAAGTTCATATGCATCTCCTTGAATCTTTGCACAAGCACAAGGGAGAGGGAGGAGCAAAGATTCAAGGAGATGCATATTAACTTCTGAAGAGCTGCATGTGGCTCCAGAGCCATCCCTGAGCTAGACCATCTGTGCCAGGAGTGACCAACCTCCAGCACAGGTACAACAAGTAGCACACAGCAGATCAAGGAGGGGACAGGAAGCACAAGGGCAGATACAGCATCTGGCATCTGACCCCTTCCTGCAAGTGCACACAGCGGCAGTGAGCTGGCCCCAGCCTCCCCTGGATGAGCCACCTGTGTCTCTGTCCTGCTCCCCAGCCAGGCCCCACAGCCGCACATTCTCACCCTGGCCCCAGGCACTGCGCATAACCACAGCTGGGCAGCACCCCCAGCCACCAACCCTGCCCCACTCCCTCCCGTGCTGTGAGGGCTTGGTGTAAGCTGCTACCTCACTCTCCCTACAAGTCACCTCCATGTCACCTATGCCCCCCACCTCACTTCCATGCATTGCCTATGCCCCCTTCTAGATTTACCTGCAGGCAGCTGTGGGAGCTGCTCTCCACCATGCTGTCTGAGGCTGTATTGATGGCCAAGTGCATGTGTGTGCACACACGTACACATGGTGCTTCCCTGTCTCTGATCACCTTCTTCCTGCTCCCCTCAGCCCCTAGCAGCTCCTTGCAGGCTGGAACTCTGCCACTCTGCAAGGGGAAACCCATGGTTCCCCGTGTTTTTCTCCTTTGCAGGGGAAAATCTGTGTTTTTCTACAGCAAACAGAAAACCTGGATCTCTGTTGATGAGTCATTAGGCCCCTTGCTCTTTTCCTCTTAGGCTGTGCCATGGTACTAGTCTCCCTTGCCCCTCGTCTGCCATCCCCTTCACTCACCTCCCCTCCTCCTTGCTCCTTCCTTCCTCTTCCCTCCCCTGCTGCCTTCC